AATGGCATGATCTCGGCTCACTGCAACCTCCACCTCCTAGGTTCAAGTGATTCTCCTGCCTCAGCCTCCTGAGTAGCTGGGATTTTAGGCATGTGCCATCATGCCTGGCTAATATTTGTATTTTAGTAGAGACGGGGTTTCACCATGTTGGCCAGGCTGGTCTCGAACTCCTGATCTCAGGTGATCCGCCCTCCTCGGCCTCCCAAAGTGCTGGGATTACAGGCGCGAGCCACCACGCCCACCCCAAAATACATTTATCTTTTAAAGGGAGCTTTATGTCACTAACATACATGGAAAATGGTGTCCCTCCTCTAAGTAGAATGTGGCTCTGGAAGGAAATGTACTGCAAATGTTAAAACCATAGGCCAGAATTCTAGCTAGAGACTCACACCTGGTAGAGGCTTTGCTTCCCAGGCCTGCAGTTGTTGGTTAGAAAGAGGGATAGGGAAGCGCTAGGCAGGAGCTGAAAACACCATGGCACCAAGAGGAGAGTCTGTCCTTGAATATGCAGAACGAGAGAGGAAAGTTAAAAACAAAGTCACTCACCCCACCATGGCGTTCTCCACCGGTGGGAGCTGCCTCTGTGAGGCAGGCAGGATGGGGGCATTGCTCCCACTTTACAGATGAGGAAAACTGAGATTCAGAGGAACAGCCAGCAGAGCTACGTTTCTCGGGGGTCTCCTCCTTCCCCACCTCCTGGGAGCAGGCAAAAGGCCACCTCAGTCCTCCACAGACCGGATCCCAAAGCCCACCGCAGCACTGGCGCTATGGTGGGACCCCCTTCCCTAAACAGGTTGAGATGTAGCTGTGTGCCCAAGGCGCAGGCCCCTGAGGGCCTCCTGCCTCTGGAAATAGGCCCCAGGCTGCACGAGGGTGATAAGCGAGGCTATTTTCATTACTTCCTTCCGCCTGCTTCCGCAGCAGCCACCTCAGCTGCATCCCATCGAGTTGCTACGCAGGCCTCAGCCAGGACTTTTCAGGCCAGACAGGAGCGCCCACTCAAGGCCTCGCAGGTAAGTGGCCCTCGGTATTACCCAGCACTGCCTCCCGCAGGGAGAGAGGAGATCAGCTCCTGTCACCTCTATAAGACAGGGTTGGGTGGGGACGTTCTCTCTAAGACACCATCTCCTTGGCTGAGTCAAGATGAATGAGTTGATTCAACGCCTATGCACTGGAAGCCTGCTGTGGGTGTGGGGAGCGCTGCCTGTGGAGGGGAAACGCCTAGAAGGAAGAACCAAACAGAGGGCCAGGGTTCCATTCACAAGACCCGAGTGTGAGTCTGGCCTCTGACACCACACCAGGTGGCCCTGGGCATACAGCTTTCCCTCTCTGGGCCTGTTTCTCCAACTCTTGGTGTTAGCCCAGATGCGTGGCTTTCCAAAGGGGGCCCCACTGGGATCCCTTCCCTGCTCCAGCCAGTGTACCCATCCCACTGTCTTCTGCATCTGGGAATCAGGTAACAGCTCACTTAGCCAGCGGGGGACGCTGGACGAAGCCTGGAGGCCCCTCCAAGGCTCTTTCCTGGTCTCTGGGGACTGTGGTCCTGGGGAGGGACTCATTTAGCTGTCATCTGCTCCTCTCATCCCCAAGCAGGGGCTGGGGTCTCTGCTAAGGGACAGGAAGTCCCTTCCCTTCCCAAAAAACAAACTTACCCCCAATCCACAGCCTCCCTCACTGCCCTGCCTTTGACGGTGTCCAGAGAGGGTCTGCCAGGCCTGGACTGGGCACGCTCCACCTTCCCCAGTCACTGGCTGGTTTCCCAGAGGAGAAGGCCGAGGACCGAGAAAGGAGGTGAGTGCGCCTCGTCCCATGCCAGGCTCCACTGCACCCCGGTGCTTACTGTCCCTAAGGATGGGTGCAGGCTGCCAGGACCTCCCTCACAGCCCCTCTCTCTGCAGCCAGCCTGCCCCATGCCCGCCTGGGGAGCCCTGTTCCTGCTCTGGGCCACGGCAGAGGCCACCAAAGACTGCCCCATCCTGTGCTCCTGCCGCGCCCTGGAAACCATGGGGCTGTGGGTGGACTGCAGGGACCGTGGGCTCACAGCCCTGCCTGCCCTGCCGGCCCACACCCGCCACCTCCTGCTGGCCAACAATAGCCTTCAGTCTGTGCCCGCGGGAGCCTTCGACCACCTGCCCCAGCTGCAGACCCTCAACGTGACGCAGAACCCGTGGCACTGTGACTGCAGCCTCACCTACCTGCGCCTCTGGCTGGAGGACCGCACACCCGAGGCCCTGCTGCAGGTCCGCTGTGCCAGCCCCAGCTTTGCTGCCCACAGCCCGCTGGGCCGGCTGACAGGCTACCAGCTAGGCAGCTGTGGCTGGCAGCTGCAGGCATCCTGGGTGCACCTGGGGGTCTTGTGGGACGTGGCGCTGATTGCTGTGGCTGTGCTGGGCCTGGCTCTCCTGGCTGGCCTGCTGTGTGCCACCACAGAGGCCCTGGACTGAGCCGGGCCCCCAGAGCCCCTGGCCCCAGGCCAGGGGGCCAATCCCTGAGGCAGATCCCCAGACTCCAACAAACCTGGTCACCCCAAACTGCCAGAAGCCCAAAATAAACTGGCAGCTCGGCCATTTTATATAAGTTCAGAGATTTTTTCCTTTTTTCCCCTCTCAGCAATTGAGTCTGGCTCCTTCTGAAAACCTGGCTTCATTTTGTTATAACCAGACGTCAGTTGGGGCTTCCTTGTCTCTTGAGTTCCTAATAAAATGGACTGCCCACCTCCCCCACCCAGCCACTTTTCATTGCACAGTCTCTGGACCTCCCAAGCCAGGCCCTGGGACTCTGGGTCTCATGGCCTCTGCCATCTGCTTCTGGCATGGGCCACCCTGGACAGCCCAGGCTAGCCTCACACTGGAGCCCAGCCCTCACCACATTCCCCAGCAAGCTCCCTCACCCAGCACGGCAGTGAGCAAAGCAGGGTGTCCCGAAGGTCCTGGAGGCAGGAAAGTACGGGTTTCCATCCCCACGACAGAAATGGCTTGGCGGGCCCTTTTCCATCGTGGCCTCTGACCACTCCACCTTGGCCCTGAGGCTGCCAGGGCTCACCTGGCCCGTCCTCTCCTCCGTCTTCTCTCTCCTTTTTCTCCTCTCTGCCCTTCTCCTTCAGAAACAAAACAAATCCCTCTCTTTCTCATGGAAAACAAACTCCTACAGGGCTAACATCTGTACCTCCAAACCCTGGGGTCCCCCTCCTACCCCAAGCCGTGGTCACCAAATCCTTCAAACAAGGCAACTCCCCCCTCCTCTGAGGAATCCTGGTGCCAGGTGTTAGAATAATAAACTTTTCTCAACCACATGACATAATATTTACGGGCCTGTTATTGGCCAAGCCAAATCCAAATATAATTACACTGGGACCCCGCCCCTGGAGGGACTCCATATGTAACCAGCAGAACCAGCTTAGGTGGGCTTGTGGGTCGGAAGATTCCACCAGGCAGACCAAGCAGGCACAGAGTGCAGCTGGCAGGCACCGACTCACAGAGCTCAGGTGGGAGCAGGAGCCCCAAACTCGGAGGCAGGGCCTGGAAGGAGTGACAAGGTCTGTGGCAAACCAGGGAACCTACGTTCCATCCAGAGGGCCTCAGCCCATTGTCACCTCGTGGAGATGGGGCCCAGGTGCCAGGCGTCCCATTCTTCCACAGAACTTGGAAAGCTAGATTGTTATGTGAACTCTCTGAAGTCTTTATATGTTGGCAACTAAATAAAAAATTTTAGGAAATACATAGGCAGGACAAATAGAACGCCAACCAATTGGATCAGGCTGAGTCTGTGATTTCTGCTGTGACACAGCTGCCTAAGAAGAACGATCGTAAAAGCTGGCATCTGAGCCCTGGGCACCAGGTGTGTCCAAGCCTTGCGTGCAGCACCTCCCATGGGTCACCCTCGGTTTCCCTGTGGGAGCCTGTGAGGAGGCAGCTGTTCCGCCACCCTGCGTGGAGGAGGGTGGAGGCCTAGGTAACTGGATGTTCTCTTTCACACGTGAAAAGTGCTCCCTCAAAAGCTTCCAGGCCCATGGGGGACCCTGGAACTAAGGCTCTTCAGTCCCCTACCCCCGACATGGGGTGCAACACAGATGCCCCTGCTCCGGTGCCTTCCTGAGGCTGTGTGTATGTACCGGTGATTCCAGGCCCTGTCCTGCTTGGTCCCGCGAGAACCTGTGGGCTGCCCGGGCCATGAGTCCCCTGAGGGTGGGGAGGGTGGAGGGCCCTCTGAAGCCAGGCAGGGATTTCCCGAGGTGGATGGCTGGTCACACAAGCACCCCAGGAGACGGTGACTCCCTGGAAAGTCATCATCTGCCTTTGCCAGTTTTTGCTGCTACAACCAAATGCCACAGTCTGGTACTATAAAAACCGTGAACATTGATTTCTCATGGTTCTGAAGCCTGAGAAGTCCAAGATCCAGGCACTGACATTCAGTGTCTGGTGAGGGCCCTCTTCCTCTCGGGGGGAAGGGACAAAATGGATAGAAGGGGCAGCCAGCTCCCTCACACATTTTTTTTTTTTTTTTTTTTGAGACAGGATCTTGCTCTGTCGCCCAGGCTGGTGTGCAGTGGCATGATCACGGCTCAACACAGCCTTCCACCTCAACCTCCCCAGTAGCTGGGACTACAGGCATGCGCTAACACACCCAGCTAATTTTTGACAAAGACGGGGTCTTGCCATGTTACCCAAACTAGTCTCAAACTGCTGAGCTCAAGTGATGAGCCTGCCTTGGCCTCCCAAAGCCACCGCACCTGGCCAACCCCAAGCACTTTTATAAGGGCCCTAATTACCTCCCAAAGGCCCCGCCTCCTAATGCAATCACACTAGGGATAACATTTCAGCAACCAGCAACAGCAGCCTAACCTCAGTGCCAACCCTGCCCCTGCACAGGCAACTCCACCAGCAATTCACACAATCTCCCCTCCCTGACAGTCATCCACACCGCCTCCCCTGCCGCCAGCCTCACACTGACCTCTGGGTGCCCCCGTCACCACCACAGTTTCTGACATCATCCCCTCTGCACGCGTACCACCATTTCCCCCACCGTCACCATAGCTGTTAGCACTAGCGCCTCACCACTGTGTGCCCTCACCCCTCATAAGCAAAATGTCCATGGTGTTCACAGCCTCCATCTATCCCAAAAGTCAGCATGATGGCCTCCTCTTGGTTATCTCCTTCAAGAGGATTTTTAAGACCTGCCTGCACATGGGGGATTTGCGAAGGTAATTTTTTTTTCTTGAGACTGGGTCTCTCGCTCTGTCTCCCAGGCTGGAGTGCAGTGCTATGATCATGGCTCTCCACAACCTCGGCCTCCTGGACTCAAGCGATCCTCCCACCTCTGCTTCCCGAGTAGCTGGGACCACAGACGTGCACCTCCATACCCGGCTAAGTTTTGTAGGGTTTGATCATGTTGCCCAGGCTGATCTTGAACTCCTGGCTGATCGGCCAGCCTCGGCCTCCCAAAGTGCTGGGACTACTAGGCGTGAGCAGCCACTGCACCCAGCCTGTCTAGGGTAACTTTACCAGCAGCTGTAACCACCGACCCACCCATCCGGCCGCTCTTCCTGATCACTGGCCTCTCTGCTGGCCACCTGCTCACTGGGAGGCCTCTTTCTCTGCTGTAACACGAAAGCCGCTCTCAACATAAAAGACAACAGGCTGCAGTGTCTGTTATGGAGGCGGAACTCGAGCAGACGGCTAATTGTGCAGCATTGGGCACAGGTGGCAAGTCCATCTTTCTGGAAACTGTCCTCCCGGTTTCTGAGACTCCAGCTCTCCAGCTTTCCTCCTGCCTTTCCAGCCACTCCACTTCAGTCTCCGTCCATCATGGACTCCCTCTTCTCCTTATTTGTTCTTCAGTGGTCGGCCCGCTCTCCTCTTCCCGCAGGGCCTAGCCCGCTCCCATGGTCCTGTCCCTGTCACGTAGGGCATGAGCAATTTCACCACAGGCCCCATCATGTGCTTCACTCGTCTGTGAAGAATTGTCTTGAGCAATTCTTGAAATACTGTAACTCTAATGATAGCTGATGAGCTTAAAAAAAAAATCGCAAAAAAAGTCATAATGTTTTACACAGTTTATGAATTTGTGTTGGGCCACATTCAAAGCTGTCCTGGGCTGCGTGCACCCACAGCCCACAGGTTGGACACGCTTGTTCTGGGGGATGTGAGGCGACCTGCGCTGTACTGTACCATCAGTCTGGCATAAATTAGCTGCAGACCCGCAGTGTCTTGGAATCTCAGCCAGGGATTTTTCCTTAAGCACTGAATCGTTTTCTCTAGTGAAATTTTGTGTGGAAGCCCGTCAATACATAAACAAACTTGTGTGGAGCTACTAAGGTTAAAGCAGGTCTGGGGGTTCTTGGAGTCCCAACACCCCAGTGACAGCTATCCCCTGTGGTCAGCCCTGAGACACGGCGAGAAACCACACGGCTCCAAAAACCTCACCTCTAGTCCAACCCTGCCCATTTTGCCTTTAAAGAAACTGAGTCCCAAGAAAGGAAGTCACTTCGCTTCCCAAGGCCACATAGTTAGGGGCTGTGGCCAGCACGGTGGCTCATGCCTATAATCCTAGCACTTTGGGAGGCTGAGGCAGGCAGATTGCTTGGGGTCAGGAGTTCAAAACCAGTCTGGCCAACATGGTGAAACCCTGTCTCTACTAAAAATACAAAAAAGTCAGCCAGGTGTGGTTGCAGCACCTGTAATACTTGGGAGTCTGAGGCAGGAGAATTGCTTGAACCCAGGAGGCGGAGAATGCAGTGAGCGGTGAAGATTGTGCCACTGCACTCCAGCCTGGGTGACAGAGCGAGACTCTATCGGGGAAAAAAAAAAAAAAGAAAAAAAAGAAAACAAAGTTGGGGGCTGAGATTAGGGCAAGATCTCCCCATCAAATCCAGGGTTCGTCTCCACCAGGACACAGTTCTGGGGAAGGCACATCTGCCTGGGGCTTACATTCCCCCTGTTTGTGAGGGGTCCCACTGCCCACCTGTGCCCTACACCTTGCACCTGTACCCTCTGACTTCCTAGGAGGAAGAGGCAGTGACACCTGGGTGCATATCAAGCAGCCAGTGCCACTGCCCTGAGCACTGCTGGCCCTGCACAGGGTGCTGACCTCACACTGAGATGCCCAGTTCACCCCCAATAGGCACAACAGGAGCACCAGGCTGTGTGTCCTTGGGGCAGGTGGTCTCCTCCAGGACCCCTGCCCAGGTCAGCAGTCTTGCTGTGGTTCTAGGTGTCCCACCAGGGACCAATTCTGGTCCTGTGGAAACATTCTCCAGCCCACCAAGATTAGGGTCCAAGAGTCACACCCACTCCCAGACAATGAGTGACCTCCAGAGGGGCCTCTGGGTTGATTCCAACCTCAGCCACCTGCCACTGTTACAGTCTGCTTCTGATCACCCGTCACAGAGCAACCATGAATCAAATCTGCCTAGCACACGTATTCGTATGGATCACTCAAGACTTTTTAGAACTTTAAGTTTGTTATCAACATTCAATTTAGGAGATTTTACATAAAAATTGTGATTTCTGCCTTCTTTTAAAATGCCAGTGGAATGAAACACAAAGGCACAAAAACTATTACAGATTAAAAGAGACTGGAAGGGCCGGGCGCGGTGGCTCACGCCTGTAATCCCAGCACTTTGGGAGGCCGAGGCAGGTGGATCACAAGGTCAAGAGATCGAGACCATCCTGGTCAACACGGTGAAACCCCGTCTCTACT